GCTGATCTTTTGCGCCGTGAGGTAGCGCGGTGTGGCCATGTTTGTTTGGCGGTTTAATGCTTGTAGCAGAACACAGCGCTGGGCGTTGACGGTGTCAGCGTTGGCGATTATCGCCAACAGAAAAACCTTTGTCGTGTGATTTCGCGCAATATGTGCATTGTATCCAGGTAAGGCGATTGCTGACTGTCAGGCAAGGCTGCGACGTCCAGGATGTGGTGTTTGCTGGAGGTCGTGGGAGGGAATGAACAACCGAGGCGGCGCGCAGCGCGTACAATACTTGTCGCGAAGTCATGCGCCCGAAAGACTGCCCAGGTGCCCCAATCACTACGCGATTGGTGCCTAGGTTACCAAGCCATCAATTTGCCGGCGATCTGGCGGTACAGACTTCATTTCACGACTGTAAACAAGATTTCATAGTTTGATATGGATATGAACGTCTACATCTATGCAACTGTTTCCCGTGACGCATGGCCAAATCCTGAGTCTTTCCTCGCGACCTTCTTGAGATCGTTTGCACTTGACTGCAAACGCGGCACAGGAGCGCTGTTCAGAAATTCGTCCTCGTTTGTCGCATTTGTTGCCCAAATCTTGCTAATGCTCAGATCGTAGGGCCCCGGTATGCGGTCTATCAAGGATATGCCCACCGTCCTCACCTTCTGTGTCAACATCTCCCTCTGTGGCTCTACGACCTGCCCATGGTTCGTCCGCACGAACTCGTTCCACCTGATTAGAATGGTTTCCCACTCGCCCGGTGTCTTGGAGTGCAGCAGGTGCTGGTGGATGTCTGTAGGAACAATCGACTCGGTCTGCACGTTGACAAAGTACTTGCGGCCGTCCGACTTGAACTGGATTGCGAGGAAGTTGTACATGCTCACGTCCCACAGGGACTTGCCAAAGATGGTGGAGCCTCGATCAAGTGTCCTCCATCCGGCATAGCCCGTTCTTTGGATGTGTGGCTGGTTGTGTGGCAGTTGTGTGGATATGGTGCCATGGAAGCGGACGTGGGGGGGTTCCGTCTGGGAGACAGGATGGTGGTCGAAGTTGACGGTGGAGAAGCCGCCGATGTCTTTGTCGCTCATGCGCTTGCATCGTTCCAGATCCTCAGCGTGGTCGAAGTGCATAAGCGGAAAGGGCTTGGACGGGGAGCGCAGGCCCTCGAGCTTGAGTGCTGCGCGTGTCAGTGGCGGCGCATGCACACATGCAGCTGCAGAGCTCACCGAAGTTGGAGAGGCGCTTGAACTCGTCCAGACTCCGCTTGACGAAGCCAGGCGCGAGGCACGCCGATGTTGGTCGCATGGCTGCGTGGGGTGTGTGCTCTTCCCAGGGGCCTCGATGAGCTCACAGCGCAATCCATGGCACTGGGGTGTGAATGACGCCGCGGTAGTCTCGCCAGCCGCTAGCCGCTTTGGATGACCATTCCAAAAATCTGGGGACCGCTGCATGTGCAAACACATGCCACCACCCTCCACTGCCCGGCGCGACGACTTCCCCTCATGATACCACAGCAGCCGACGCCCCGAACCTCCGACCCTTGACTTTGCGTGCGCCTTCCTCAACCCACGCCGCCACCAATCGCCACGCGCCTCCCCTGCCTCGATGCCACTGCAAGAAGCACCCAGACCTCGAGGCCTCCGAGACGCCACAACCCAGCCGCTGCAACCACTGCCCCCTTCGTCGCGAGAGCTGGGAGAAGTCACCCCTCCAAAACAGCCAGATGGGACACCGGTAGCTAAACAAGATGTCAAGTCTGGAAAGTCGTGGGCGCATTTTGTCGCCGGAGGGTAAGACTACAGTTCACTCTGGACCACGCCTTGAGGACTAACACTGTCACAGCCTGGGTGGCATGGCCTCAGCAACCTTGACAGCCCCGCTCGATGTCCTCAAGACTCGGCTGCAATCCACCTTCTACCAGCAGCATCTCGCCGCAATGCGCACCGCCCGCGGCCTGCCCCCCATCGAGACCATGTCCTTCGGCCGCAGCTCGCTACTGCACATACGGGAAACCGGAGAGATATTATGGCAGGTCCCAAAGGCAGAGGGGTGGCGAGCTCTCTTCAAAGGACTGGGACCAAATCTCATCGGAGTGGTCCCCGCACGCGCAATCAACTTCTTTGCATACGGAAACGGCAAGCGTCTGATCAGCACACATTTCAACAATGGTCAAGAGGCAGCATGGGTACATCTGTGTAGTGCAGCAGCGGCTGGTATCGTGACTGGGACCGCTACGAATCCCATCTGGCTGGTCAAGACACGACTGCAACTGGACAAAAACACACACTCGGATGGCCGCGGGCGGCAATACAAGAACGCATTCGACTGCACCATGCAGACCATACGGAAGGAGGGTGTCCGTGGCTTATATCGCGGATTGACTGCAAGCTACTTGGGCGTTACCGAGAGCACATTACAGTGGATGCTTTACGAGCAAATGAAGCTGTCATTGGCACGGAGAGAAGAGCGCGTCATTGCTAGTGGCAGACCGCCAACCGTGTGGGACCAGACTGTAGCATGGACTGGCAAGCTGACTGCCGCTGGATCTGCCAAATTTGTTGCAGCGCTCATCACATATCCCCATGAGGTTGTGCGAACGCGTCTGCGGCAAGCACCAATGGAAGATGGCCGACAGAAGTACACTGGCCTCGTTCAGTGTTTTCGACTAATATGGAAGGAAGAGGGTATGGCAGCACTCTACGGCGGTCTGGTTCCTCACATGTTCCGTGTGGTACCTAGTGCCGCCATCATGTTTGGAACATATGAAGGTGTGCTCAAGTTCCTCGGAGAGAGCAGTAACATGTGATTACCAACGCCGGTATAGAGGTGGTGTAAACATGTATAGGACTGGATGCATACAAACGGCGTTATGAAAAGTTGGGATTTTGCGACGCATACACGGCGTCTTGTATCACCACTCTGCTCCTGCCGAGCATGTACTTGTATTATGTTAGAAAGATGGAAGAATATATGACGACATGAGATTTGCGCATAAAGAACGGAATTCGGCTTCCACTCGACCAAGTGCACTTGAACAGTATTCCTGACCAGAAAACCATCTAGTACTCTCTGCATTGGTCCTTGTAATTTGTAACTTGCTTGTGGGTGTGCAAGTTCAGCAGGGCACGGTGCGACCCGACCAATCGTACATGTACCTCACTAGCGCGAACTTCGCGCCCGAACATTGATCGACTTTGACATATTAAGCATCCTCATCGCGAACGCCCAACGCTCGCCCCGAGCATAAGCCAGCCCCCCGCAATGTCCTCACAAATGCCACTCCGGAGCATACGGATACCGGCGCTGCAACGACAATGTCTCTTCCTCCGCCACCAAACCCTCCTGCACGCCGCCCAACCCACCATAACCCACCCATCCTCCCGCCGCGCCTTCTCCAGCACCCCGTCACACCCAGCAAAGCACAGACAACTCGGACAAGATAAAGCGCAAGCCATAGCTGCAGCCCGATCCCAAATTTCGCCCTCACCAAATGTCAACTTTGAGCAAGCGCAAACCAACACAGATGCCATGGCGGAGGACATTGGTCTGCTGCAAAATACTATCGTGAGGGCGCCATTCTTGGACGTGTACAATGAATCGCCCGGCCTCGGAGGGGTCCTGAGATATTACTGGGAGATTGTCAAGCAAAAGGCAACAGGTCTCTACTCGTAAGTTGGACTTTCTTCGGGTTAGGACCGGGCCTGGGACATGAGGGGAGAAGCAGAAGAAGAAGAAGGACAGCACATCCGAAATTAAAGTTGAAAGCGTATAGGACTAACCTAAACCCTTAGACGATACTACTACCGCGATTGCATCCAGAAGTCCGGCTGGACAAAATATCTACCCGTCGACCTCTTCCATAACACACAATACAAAGTCCTAGCCAAGAGATACTACCAGCACATCTACAGAAGCTTCGCCTCGTACGTCTCTCCCGAAAATTCATATGACATACTTTGCAAACACACTAACACAAACCAACCAACAGAGGCAACGTAACGCCCCTCAAGCAAGTATGCCTACCACCCCTCGTAAAGAAACTTAAGCAACGAATCGCCGCCCGCGGCAAGACGACCCTGAAATGGAACCTGCACGAATTCAAATCCGCGCGCGTAATGAGCCACCGCGCGTCGCCCTTGGGCGAGCAGACACCAGACACAGCGTACAGACAAGTCGTTGTACGCCTCGTATCCGTTCAATCCGTCGAACGGTCTACGCCGACATCGCCCAAAATTTCCAAGTCTCCCATATCTGCTGCTCGGCTACCCTGGGTCCCAGATGCTGCGCGCCAACGAGCGGAAAAGGCACGTCAACAGAGGCAAAAATCCGAGGATGATGTGGAGACGGAGAAGCCGGTCGCCAAGAGCGACGAGGCGTTTATCGATAATGGAGTTAAGAAGACTGTAGTCGAGTATCTGGTGTTGCAGAAGAGAGTCATCAAGGGTACGGAGGAGGACTGGAAGGTCTGGGGCTTCACCGAGGCGTCCACGCCGAGTGTGCTTGCGAGAGAAGAGCTGTATTGGTCGCAGATGCTGAACGTACAGGCTGGTGGTGCTGTATAGTGTTGGTAGCTCTGGGGATAGACACGTTGTAACAATATTTGTACATGTGATGGACATCATGAGGGCATGTAATTGTGCCTAGAAACTTCAGACGTAGCCATGTATGATCTGGAAACCCAGCTCTGAAGCTGCAGATATGCGCTCCACTCTGAACCGGACATCACGTGGAGCATGCTACATGAAAAAAGTCCACTGTGTAGAGGAAGGTGGTCATGTCATTTGAGCTCTTGCCAGTAGCAATAACGATAATCCAGGTACACGCATTCATTCGGCGCCCAGCATTCCACTGCCGCGCATGTGCTCGAACCAGCCTCGTACTCCGCCCCTCTCTTCATCCTGGTATAGAGGCGTATGACGCAAGCTTACAAAAAGCTGTGCCGCTTTAGCCGTGCCACGGACGAGGGCAGCTGGCATATCGAGGAGGCACAAGGTAGTAGTCATGGACGACTAGAAACCGTGGACCTGATTTCTGATTAGACTGTGACTCGATGCTAAATCGTGCCGGGCTGTGACTCACCTTGATCGTCTTCGCATCGAGACCAAGTCCCTCCTTCTTGTCGGTCAAGAAGTCCTGGACGTCTTTGCGCTGATCGCCCTGGAGTTGGACGACTTCGCCCATCTCGGCGTCGCTTACAATGGTGCCATTGCAGGCAAACTTCTTTTTGATCACCTTGAGGATCTTCTTCTGGTCAAATTTCTTGGGGAGACCTTGGACAGTCGTCAAGGTCTTGCGGCCATTGCGCTCTAATGTCGTGTTAGCCTGGTGCGGCTAAAGAATAGCGTATGGCAGATGCGGGCCGTTATGGGCAGGAGCGAGGTGTGCGAATGGGTTGGGTGCGTGGTGAGGTTTTTGCATCAGTGGGCAAGGGCGGTGAGGGACCTACGTTGGATACGAATATGAATGTAGTCCTGCTGAGTCTGCTTGACCTGGCCGGTATCTTCATCCGCTTCCGCGAACGGGTCTATGAATATCGTGTCAGTAGCTGCCTGGTATGCGCCTCGAGGGTCACGACTTACCGAAGGTCTTGAGGTTCTCGATGGACATACGACAGTCGGTGAGCGCGCGTGTAGGTGGGGGGTAGTTGGGTATGGATGCTTTGGGTAGCGGCGATTTCTTGGGTGGGCTGGGAGTGGAGTTGGGGTGGTTTTGGGGTGGTGACAAGTCGGGAGGGTGCAAGTGAGGGTTCCAAGGTTTGTAGCGTCGAGCAGGCTGAGAGAAAGAGGTGGGGAATGCGGCGGGAGAGGAAGGCGAGCCCCGCCGTGGTCTGTGCGCGCCAAAAGGGTGATGCTTGCCGTTCAGGGCTCGGTACCGGATGCGAGGCTGGAGGTGCGAATGAGACAAGACGAGGGTGGCATGGGACACATGGGGCGTGCAAGTGATATGGGTATTACGAGCGAGCTGACATGTATTGTCGCTTGCTCGGCGAGGACGTCGAATTATACAATTACACGGTACCGTTGCTACCTGAGTACCGGCTACGCACCAACCTCTCCTACGGCGGCCTACGACGGCGGCGCAGCAGCAAATGCCTCCGTGCCAGATGCTTGGCCCGGCCTGATAGGTGGTGGGGGGAGGAATATTGACGAGTAGGTCTGTGGTACAGCATCAACACGAGATCTGTCGGAGCCAGGGCCGAACTTACAACGAGGAGCGACATGGCTGTGATCTGGTTAGCTGTCTGAGCAAGCACAACGGGAATGGGCACATACCAGACATGCCAACCTGGAAGTAGGCGGGTGTAGTCGACGTCTTCTTCTGCTCGGGGGTCTCAGCAAGCCACGACTGGATAGCGAATACTACAGCAACCCTGCGTCGAGTCAATTAGGGAACGTGGCACAAGATGGGGAAGCCTACCAGCCGATCATCCTGTGCAGCACGCGTGATGTCAGTCATGGAGCTTTGCGCGCATCTGGGTGTTGCCTACTTGTTCCGCGTGAAGATCTGGGACACGATATCAGCCGTGCAACATGGGATTGGGAGAGCAGCACTTACAGCAGCCATGGGCAGTGTGCTCGAGAGCGTGCTCGACATGTCGTTGTCGTCCTTGGCCTTCTCTGGCTCGGCATAGGGCACGACTGCAGGAGGAGGTGGGTTAGACACGTGATCAATGGCGTTGGGATAGACGGGTCGAGCCGTGGAACCCCTATGAGGGCGCGGTGCGGCATCACATACTCAGGTCGGCGCGGCGCATGTCTTTTCTGGAGGCCATCGTGGAGCTGGCGGTCAGGTGTCGGGCAGGTGTAGGCAGGTGTGTGGGCGGGTGGAGATGGGTGGTGGAGGATAGGGTGCAGCACTCGGACTGGGCGGCGTGAGCGGCGGCTGTGTGTCTTGCTGGGCCGGCATGGCGCTGGCCCCCGTCGTAGTGCGTCGTAGCGTGGATCCCTGCTCGCTCTATCGTATTACCGGGTGATCGACTCCGCTGTTCGCAATCCAAGATAACCTCAGACATCACGTCAACCGTCGCTCCCTCGACACGCCTCGCTCTGTCCATCAGCCCCATCCGAGCCGCACCGCCGTCCCTCCTTTGCTGCCCGCGTGTGAGGCTCGCACATGCCGCCGCCCCATCGACGCGGCTCCTGACCTCGCAGCCCTCGTCGCTCGCTCCCTTGGCCCACCCACTGCATGCGCCTGATACAACGATGAAGCCGCTGTGTGTGCGATGACTTCTCGACCTGGCCCGGGGATTCACGAATCTCTACAGACTCGTGGCAGCGCCCTGCCTCCTCGGTCCCAGGTGCAGCGCCGGCCCTCGAAGCCCGCCCACACCCTCCTTCAGCCGGACTGCATCGACCCGGCCCTAGAGGACGACCGTCCACCGGCACACGCTGCCCTCCACGATGCCGCGAGGCCGCCCCCGCGAGGACGCCCGCCGCTCTTCTACACCACCATCCCGACCCACGGCACCGAGCTGCCCCTGCACTCCTTTCCCTACCAGCCGGCCGCCAACCTGCCCCAGCCCCCACGCCCGGGCTCCCTGCACCTGAGAGACGCTTCGCACCAGCGTCGCATACTGCCCGGCGGCACCGGAGTCAAAGACGCGCCCAAACCCGGTGGGCCCGAAGTCGTCGTTCCACCCGTCCATTTTCCCGGTGGGAAGGCTGCCGATCTGTTTCCATGGACCGGCAACAACCCCGAGGACAACCTGTCCGAGGCGCTAGTCAAGGCAGGCGTCAGCAACAAGCCCCAGATCATGAACGAGTCCAACACCGCACGCCCCTCGCTCATCAACAACCTCAAGAACAAGTCGGGCCTCAGCACCCTGTCGACCCTGTTCGTCGCCGTGCTGGAGAAGCGACAGCAGACGGGCCGCCTCCAAACCCCAAACACCTTCAAGCCCCCGCCGCGATTGACCCTGCGAGACTCGACCCGCGAGCAGTGGCTGCACGACTTGGCCAACCCAACCATTGGCCTTCGCCGCCTCAGCCGCACCATACCGCACGGCCTCACTGGCAAAGTGCTGCTCGAACAATGTCTGAACAAGCACATTCCTCTGCCGAGAGCCCTGTGGCTGGCCAAATGCGTAGGTATCAACGAGCTGCGTGCGCATAAAAGAAAGGGCCAGGCCGGTACCGTGACATGGGGCAGAGGCTGGACCAGTTCGGTCGAGCAATTCATAGACGGCGTCATCAGTACCATTGGCCAGGGTGATTGGAAACCCCGCATCACCTACGCCCTCCAGCTTGCGACCCATCTCTACAAAGAGCATCTGCTCGACGACGACCACTTTCTCGACTGGATAGTCAATGGCTTGGATACCTGTCCCTCCGAACGCCTATTTATCTGGCTGCTGGTCGTTTCCATATCACACTACTGGACCGCTGTAACCTGCTGTCGACGCCGCGGCAAACGTCTCGCCGAGTCATTGCTCACCCAGCTCGACAAGATCTATCGACTTGAGGATCTGCGACCTTATATCGCCGTTTTGCAATACCTTGAAAACACCATTGTCCGCTTGCTCGCCACACGACCTGCTTGCCTGCTGCTTCCGACTGCGTGGGCCAGATATTGTCCCCTCTTGCGGAATCTCGCTGAAAGGAAGAATCATGCACATGTCATGCAAGCGATCCGGAGGCTCGAGCTGAGGAACGCTAGGCTCCTGCGATCGCCGAAGAAAGTTCCTTCGGCCTCACAGACACCGGCTGGCCGCGTCTATCGGGTACTGGACTCGGTAGACTACAGCAAGCCAGTGCGTATTGAGGACTTGTCTTGTGACTGCATGGAGATAATCGCCGACGCTCCACGCTTGATCGGTGTTCTCCTCCAGTGGGCATGTACTTATTACCGAGCAGGAGCACACAGGATCTATCTGGCGACGCGATTACTTCGTCGATGGAACCATCTCGGCGCGGACGTATACGACGGCATAGTTTCACACCTCCGCGACATGACGTGGGTTGCTACCGGCGATTCAAATATACTCTTCAAAATCGTTGCTGAACTGGTCCGTTCAAAGACTTTCGCTACTGGGCGCTACCTTCAGTGGCTTATTGCTACGGGATCTACAGGTCACAATACAGATCTGTCTTCAGTAAGTCATGCCCCACAAGTTCCATCTGTTGGTTCTAACTATTCGATAGCCGCAGTCCTGGCCGTTGCGTTTGATCACCGAGATACCCCTCAGTGGGCTACCGGACCAAATCCGTACATTGCGGAGCACACTCCTCCGTGGAACCTTACACTCCGCCGAATTGGAACAACGAGCTCTTGGCTACGCTGAGCACATGATATCTCAGACCTTACCTACCTTGTTTGGCATCTACAGTACCACAAATAAGCTCAACGACGAAGAGCTAGACAAGCTCAGTTCGACGATCAAGCTCGAACTGGGCATTTGGTTGCGTCAACACGTCGCTCAGTATGCCGAGGTTAGCGCGCAGTAAGTATTCTCGTAAATTAACCATGACTTCGCTTACATTACACAGCATACCCACGAAGGACTCCTCAGTCGAAGAAACCGCCGCGGTCTCTCTTCTAACGCCCTGGGACTTTCACACTGTAAGATCGTACCTTGAGCGATTCGGAGACCTTGCTATCCTTGCGGACATTGTCGGCGTCGCAACTACATCCTTGGACTCCAGTGTTCTTGCTTCTGCTGCGGACACGATCAACTACCACGCCAGAACCTTTCGTGCAATAGGTGCCTTTGACCCACTGTTTGCTAGAATTGCCACAAGATATGCCGCTCTACGAACTGTCCGACTCCCGGATCGCGAATTACTGCTTAGTCTTGCCAGTCTAGCTCGTACAGCACAAGCTGATGGCCAACTCCCCCAGCTCCTCAACTATGATTTGAGCCAACTGAACCAAAGGAACTCTCTTGTAGCCTGTTCACCAGCCTCCGACAACATGGGTGAGGTCATGCAAACAGGATCGTCTTCCAATGACGAGATTGAACGCATACTTTCGAGTGGTACCAGCATGGATCAACAGATGATGGGCCGAGTACTGAGGAAGATCGTCAGCAACCTAGAGGAACATCTAGCCAAGGGCTCTTTCCACTTGAACAATCACCATGCATGGTTCCATCGGCTGCGCTGCTTCGATGAGCCGACCTTCGACATGGTCGTGAATGAATGGCTGCTTCTGAGCTTGATGGCTCAAAGGACTGATACCCTACGGGTAGCCTTGCCTACACTTGTTGGTTCAGGCTGTATTCCTTTGGCGTCCTTCCTTGATTCACTCAGAACTTGCATCGCAAAATTCAAGACCAATCCTTCTGAAGGTGGCCTCCAAACTGCTCTCAAAGGCATGATGATCACTCTGCCGTCTGACGCTCTAGTTCAGTCTTGTTCGCCGCAAGATGCGTATCGATACCGCTTGGAGCAACGAAAGCTCTGCTTGGAAACTGAAGGGTGCTTTACGCAATGTGTTAGTGAGGTGATTGGGCTTGCTTCAACCATTACTTCTCAGAAGGCTCAGGGACAAGTCACAGAGTTCCTACGCAGTAAGCCCATGCTGCATGTTCTGAAACATCGCATTGCCGGCGATCCAGGATGCTTGTCAAAGTTGAACAGGGATGCCTCGAGTCATTTGCTCAAGCCGTCGTTGGACAGCCTACTTGACCCCAAAGGTCACTTACGGTTGCCCGACAAGAGCCCTGAACAGCAGGTACTTGCAGTTTTTGCACTTACTAGCGAGTTGTCTTTACCAATCTGCCAAGCGACTATCGAGCAGCTGTTCTCATCTAGTGCAACCGCGCTGGGAGGTTCCGGTGAGGTACTTTCTGCTTCTCTCTTGAGTGCCATCAAGACAGCAGTGGAAGAGGATCAACCTTCAGGACTGGGGCTACTTGCGAGCTTGGACGCTGCTCTCACCGACCAAATACGACAGCACGCTGAACGCGAGATCTTGAATGCCTCTAGCTTTTTGTGTATGACATCCACCGTCAAAGTAGAGGAACCAGAGAAGGTCTCGCCCGCAGTGGTACAAAAATATCTCACTGTCATCGATCTGACTTCCAACAAGCGCGCGACATCTACGGAACAGATTGCGCTTCTCCAAGCCTTGGTCGAGAGGTTCAAAGGCATAAGTCAAGCTCTTGAAGACAACAGACTCTCTGTTCTAGAGATTTATGTTTGGTTGAACGCCCTACTTCGTCTGGTAGTATCTCATGCACCGGACATGTTGGCCGAGGCTACACATCCACATCAGACCGCTTTGATGAGTTCCATGGCTGCCTTGCTCATGCATCCGTCTTTGGAACTATATCCTACGAT